GGTGTGCGAAACCCTCTCATGACCACCCACGACCCCTTCCCTGGTGTCAATTATTGATATGGGTTTTTCTTTCCTGAACTGGTAGGACGATATATATAGTGTATAGCATTTTATACGGGATCCCACATCCGCCGAATGTAGCGCACTGTCGAGTGTATAGATGGGGAAACTGATAAGCCCACGAATTTCCCAGTGATACTCCTATAGTTGGACAACAGGAGCACGTTAAAATCCAAATTCGTATCAGTTTCCAATAGGCACTTCCAAGAGGTCGCATTATGGTGCGAAGCACAGAATGTAAGATCGCTGCCTTTCTCTTTCCACAGTAATCTCTCACCTTCTCACTTTCATTGATTTCAAGCGCAGTGTGTCAACACACGCACAAACACGGGATCGGGCTCATACTAGTGAGTTACTCTTTTCTCCATGAACGAGTGTGGCTTGGGGAGGTACATGGCATTCTTGGTGTTGTGTACAGGTCCTGCGGTGTATTTCTGATTTGTGGGGGCGTTGTAGGCCACCTTATGTGGACTATTCAATTCTGTTAGACCATTGGCATGTGTGGTTGGTGCTTTTTTTTAGTGGAGCCTTTTCTGTTATGCTATCGTGTTTGTAATGAAGTTTGTGGTTTTGTGGGGCAGATGCCGAGGGCTTAGGTAAATTGCCCTTTGTCTTAGGTAAATTGCCTTATGCGGCTTATGCCATCCACCCTTTTTAAGGATTATGAAATAAGTTGATGTATATATCGTCAAACAGAACTGCTATGTATATATTGTCGGCAGAGACGAAGAAGAGTATATATGTATATGTGCAAGTGTGCTGCTTCAGGGGTGGGCCTGAACCAGTAAAACGTGGCCAACCTTCCATTTTCTATGATATTGTCTACATATACTTTTACATTATGGATGGTTTGTTATGATTTGTGGAGGAAATGAGAGAGACAATTTGGGACCCTTTTTTTCTTTTCCTCTTTTTTTCTTCCATTTTGTTTTCCTTTTATTTGTAGTTTTAATTTTAATTTTTTCTGTTTTTCTTCCACCTGACAGATGAACTTGCGACTTCCACCTGACATGCAGGACTTGCACCACTAAATCTGATCTTTGCGCTAAACCCAAGTGAAGGGATGAAAACGGCTAAAGAAGAAAGAGGGATGCAACAACTCTCTTACCTTTTCTTATTTTTTAGCAGAGCGACTTTTTCACGCGATCTTTTTTGTTTTTCCATCTTTTCTTATTTTGTTTTCATGTTTCGTGTTTATTCTTTTTTCTCCCTTTTTCCTTTTTTGGTAGACTGCTCTCACAGAAGAAAGAGGGAAGAAAAACCATGATGTACACAGCAACAACATATCATGCCGTTTTTAACTCCTCTTCCTTGCGCTCATTTTTTTTTTTTTTTTTTTTTTTTTTCCTTTGGCACTTGCGTTAGCTTCCTCTTGTCCCCTTCCTCAGTTTCTCGTTTCGAGAAGCGGGTTCTCTATTTTTCCAAAACATAACGAGTGGTTCTCACGAATAGTTAGCACTATTTAGGATAGGCACCCCCCATCGGTCTGCATGTGCTTTGATTTTGGCCTGAGGGAGATCCGCTAGCCGATCAACACTCGAAGGCAGTACGATCAGGTGTGGTGGGACAATCGGCGTGGTCTTCTGGCTCTCCATCGAAGAATAGTATTGGAAGGTATGGACTACCAGTTAATCGGCAATACTGAGGCAGCTGTTTAGGATCTTGGCCTTTCGCTCTTTCGCCTGATCGGTGCATCGCAAGACATGCCTTCTTATTCCTCCCCCTTGCGTATCTCCCCGCGCTCCGAGTATTTTCCTTACAAGATGCACATTGGTCATCTTGTTATCCCTAAAAAATCAAGATAACCTCTAGAGTTTTCCATCTGGTGTGGGTGAGTGATAGTCTACTTTGATTTTGGTTGAGGTAGATTATCATTTACAGTGTAATCAGTGAGGGGATTCTGCAGACTGTTGAGGGTTCAGCCTCCTGATGAGTCGGTGAAACTCCGACGAAACAGTTTGTCACAGCCCCTCGTTTGTTGTCCTCTTCTCCCTCTCTGCCTACGGTTTACCGGGCAGTTCTATTTGACGATATATATATATATAATGCCAGCGGCGTGTCTGGAGTGTATTTTTTGGCTGTGACAGACCTTTCTTTGTTTCGTGGGTGTTTTGCTGGCTTGTGATGGGGTGTGAACGGACAGTCTGTAGAGTTTTCAATCTGGTGCGGGTGAGTGATAGTCTACTTTGATTTTGGTTAAGGTGGATTATCACGTACAGTGTAATCAGTGAGGGGATTCTACAGACTGTTGAGGGTTCAGCCTCCTGATGAGTCGGTGAAACTCCGACGAAACAGTTTGTCACAGTCCCTCGTTTGTTGTCCTCTTCTCCCTCTCTGCCTACGGTTTACCGGGCAGTTCTATTTGACGATATATATATCTAATGGTTGTTTTTCCTTATCTACTGGTTATTAAATCTCATCTAAAAATAATTGAATGATTAGGCTTGTTACTAGTATATTGGTCAATCATCATGCAAATTGCCGACATACATGTTTAGTATCCTAATAGCATACACAATCTGAGTATTTTCATAGATATATGTTTTAGTGGAGCACGTTGGTGTACCCTATGTTCATAATTTTGCGACCCATGCGTGCTTATAATAATTTCTGGGATTGATTGCGTCGCATATACACACACATACGGTACTTTTCTGTACGAAACGTACATGCAATATCTGTATGTGAACCTGTACGTCTTGTACAATCCCGTAAAAATAAAAATAAGAAAGTTACCAGAAAACCCAAAAAAATATATGTGCTGCAACATCACAAAACAAACAATATTTGGTTGAGCATGATTCGCATATTATTACTATGATTTGATAAAAAAAAAAAAACTTATTAAAAAAAAGTCGTAGGGGCCCTATGGTACTAGTAAGGAGTACGAGTTGTACGAGGGTGAGTACAAGTCGCAACGCAGTATATATATACATACATTTATTGTGTACATTTATATGTATATGATCTATAAATACACAAAATATATATAAATACATAAAATATACATCTACATATATATACATGGTTGCCGGCGTTCGGGACGGACCGAACACTCGAACCCGAACGCCCATACGTTTGGGAACCCCTCTTGACGCGTTCAGACGTTCGGCCGAACGTCGAACTAAAAAAAAAAAAAAAAAAAAAAAGGTTCGCAAAAATGCTGAAAACAAACTATGTCATGCAGAAAAATATACGAAACAATATTTGCCTCAACAGTACATCCAAATTTCTTACCAAATTTGAAATAAAAATCAAATATGAAAAATAAATAATATTAGCATAAGTAAGAAAAAATAAAACGAGAATGAAATTATTGCATGGGCGAGCAAGTTTTTGACACTGCCATCTTTGGCGATTTTTCATTGTTTTTTGGCTTTGTCAAATGCCATGAAATTTTATACATATGTATCTTATATCATAGAGGACCTACAAATGAAGTTTGAAAAAATAATATTTCTTTTCAGGCCCCGAAATGAAGGGAAAAGGAAAAGTGAAAACAAATTAGTTAGTGGGAAAGCAAATTAATAAGTGGGAAATAAAAGTAGTAAGTGGGTAAGCAAGTTTTGACACCACCATCTTTGCCGATTTTCCATTATTTTTTGGCTCCACAGAAAGACGTCAAAATTGAGAGGGAGGTAGCTTACCTAACAGAGAACTCACAAAAAGAAAAAATCAGAAAAAAAAAAATAATTTGCAGGTATTGAAATATTTTTTTGCGGGGTCCGAACCCCTTCCAGTTGGGGCCCTGTACAGGGACCCGATCGCGCGAACATTCGGGGGTCAGCTTAGGGGCCTCCGTACGTTCGGCCTGGTTACTCTGTATATATATATATATGTTGAGAATAATGATTGTTTTACTCCAAGAGAGAAAGTTCCAACGAAAAAGTTTTTATGTGTACATACTTACCAATTTTTGGAAGAAATAGCCCATGGGTACCTTGACGTTGGCCCGTGAAGGATTTTGGCATATAAAATGGTGTCTCGTGTCCACCTTATAAGATAATGGGACCTTGGCCATGTAAGACGAGGAAATGGAGGAGATTAGGACATCCATAGCCACAAATGCTGCTTGGCTCAAAGTTCACCGTCTTTGCTCCGATACCATCAATGCATTGGGTTGAGCATACGAGAGTTGGTTTTTGGCACCAACTATGGAAACTTGACTCTTTCAAATGCCTTTCTCCGTTTTCATTTAATTGCACTCATATTTCTTGCCGACCTGGCTAAGGAAGATGTAGCGAACTGTTACGTGAAAGCAATGATGGGTGATCTACTGTATTGCCTACCTGACGAGCAGTATGTCGTCAAAATGAATCTTAGAGGGAATGTTGAAATGTCGAACGTCTCAACCTCATAAGGAAGATGTAGCGAACTGTTACGTGAAAGCAATGATGGGTGATCTATTGTATTGCCTACTTGACAAGCAGTATGTAGTCAAAATGAATCTTAGAGGGAATGTTGAAATGTCGATCGTCTCAACCTCAGATGCCAATTCGCAACGAAAAGGAAGGAATGTGGGAATTGACCTATTTGGATGGGCCATCCGATAGGGTATGTTCGTGCACATCCAGATGTACGGACCTCCCATGTTCATTCACTTCCTTTGTGTTTCATAGAAGCTCGTCGTGGAAGCTTGTGCCACGTTTATGATTATGCGTGAAGCCATGATAGTTGTCATTGTTGTACTCGAGAAAGACCCCACGATTACATCTAAATTTGTCATTCACAAACCTAAATGAAAGTATAGCACCCCATTCTTGATTGGCAAGGTGTTGACACTGACGCAAGTCAATCGTAACCCCAGGGTCAGGGTGATAAATTTCGCGAATCCCCCATCGGTTATTGCAATACAAGGTGGGCTTGCAGCCCCCAATCCTCGTAAGGAATCGCACAGAGGGAGAAACCATAGGGCGAAGTAAGGGCCCAGAACATGGCCTCTATCAAGCGCTACAACGAAGCCAACCAAAGCAAGGCGAACTATGTACAACACTGTGACGATTGGAGACACATTCCGCCTTAAGAAAGCTCCACCATCTCAATCGCCAACTCCCTCACGGTTGGATCCTCTAAAAGGGAAGTTACGAGCGACATGACTGGCATAAAAGGTGCAATCCATTCTCCATAATGGGGATGCGTGCGGACGGACCTATCGAAAAAGATTGTATGGCCATTTTGTGTACTAAGCTTTCATAAATGATTTTGCTACTTAGCAATTTTTGGTGTTTATTCAAATTTTTATTCAATTTTGAAATATTTATGTATACATATGTCTACATGCAAGTATGCCACTTTGGTAGTAGACCAGTTAGCGGGCACTTGGCACTGAACCACACAGACGTGACCTACCTCGCATTTTTTACTCTTTTTTATTAGTTTGCCTGTTTCTAAGCGTTTCGTTGTATGGATGGCTTGTGAGGGTTTGTGAGAAAATGTGAGAGAGAATTTGGGGATTAAAACACACACACACACACACACACACACACACACACACACACACACATACACACATACACACACACATATACACACACACACACACATACATAGGCGCCACACACACACACACACACACACACACACACACACATACGCACACACAAATACACACACCCACACATCCACGTGCACACACACACAAGCACGCCCACCCACGCACGCACGCACACACAGATACAAGCACACCCGCCTGTGCACTTAATTTTTTGATGTGCTTAATAGCATGGGCTGTTTGGATTGTTAAAGGTGGCCACATACTCTCTTTGGGGGGAATGTGTGTTTTGTGTGGAGGTGTGGAAGGCTT